ATATCCTACCATCCTTTCCCCTTTCCCTCATCACAGTTTCTCTTTTTCAATAATAATATCTTTCCAATCACACTATCTGTTGTACATGTTGGATCCTGTACTCATTCACTAGCAGAACTATATTGTTTACTCATATGGGTCTGAGTTATTGTACTTATGAGTATGGTCTATAGTTGCACCCATTTACCTATAAAAAGTCTCAAATTTATCCTTCTTTATGTCTGAATACTACTCCATTGTGTATTTTAAAACCTATCTTTTAAAAATTTTTATTTATTTTGATACAGGATCTCACTACATAGTTCGGACTTATAGTGAACTATGAGTGATCCTCCTGTCTCAGCCTCCCCAGCACTGGGATTATAGGCATGTGCCACCATGCCTGGTTTCAAGGTTGGCATGGCATACCTGGGGTGCCAGGACCAGCACAGCATGTGTTACTGGGAATGGAACTCAGGTCTTTGTGCTTGCCAGGAAGGTACTTATGCCACAGAGCTATCTCCCTAACCCCAATACACATTTTTTTGTCCATGCCTCAGTTGATGGGCATCTGGGTTGTTTCCAAGATTTATCTATGATAAGTTGTGCGGCTATAAACATGGGTCCATATATATTGCTGCACTATGATGCTTTTCATTCTTCTGGGAAGATACCCAAAAAGGGGATAGCTGGGCCAAATGGGACCTCTAATCCTAATTTTTGAGGATACTACACATTAATTCCCACACTCATTTCACCAGTCTAGGGTCTTGAACAGTCCTGAAAAATGGAGAAGAGTTTATTTTTTCCCACAGCCCCTCTAGCATTTGTTGTTGGGTGATTTCTTAATGATAGCCATTCTTTCTGCAGTGAGATGGAATTTCAGTATTGTTTTAATTTGCATTTCTCAGTGATGTTGAACATTTTCCATGTAGTTATTTACCATTTGCATTTCTTCATCTAAGAAGTCCACATTCACCTCAGATGCCCACTTTTGATTGTGTCTTTGATTGTGGGGCCCTAATTATTTTTAATTCTTTATATATTCTAAATAGAGGTCCTTTGTCTGAGGGACAGCTGGCTATAATAATGTCCCACTCTGTGGGTTGTCTTTTCACTCTGTGATTTCCTTTGTTGTATAAAACCTTTTTAATAAGATGAGATCCCATTTGTTGGTTTTTTGTAGTATTTCCTTTGTAGTATTTCCTACATAGTATTTTCCTATGCAGTCTTGGTTTCATTCATGAAAAATCTCTGCTTACAAACATGTCTTTAAGATTCCTACCTAACATCTGTTCCAAGAGATTTAGTGTTTCTGTTTTAGCATTTAGATTTTTGATTCATTTTGACTACAGTTTAGTGCATGGTGATAGACATGGGTCTAATTTTAGTCTTTAGCATGTAGAAAGCCAGTTTTCTCAGCATCATTTATGAAAGAAACTGTATTTTTTTGCCAGTGGACATGTTTGGCCCCTTTTTCAACGATAAAGTGGCTGAGTGTATTTGGAGTTACGTTTGCATCTTCTAATGTGTTCCACTGATCCTCAGTTCTGGGATTTTTTGTTTGTGTATTCATTCGTTTGTCACCAATATCATGCTGATGTTAAAATAGTAGCTTTGTAGTATAATTTCAAGTAAGGAACTGTAATGTACTTTGCCTTGCCTTTGTTGCCCTGAATTGCTTTTGCTAGTCTAGGTCACTTCTGGCTCCAAATGAATTTTAGGATTGTTTTCTGTGGTTCTATGAGGTATGTTAATGGAATTTTGACAGGGATTGCATTAAAACTGTATTATAATTTTGGAATTTTTACTTTTCTGTATATCTCATTGAATCTGTCTCATGCATTTTATTTCTTTCTTATATTGCTCATTGAAGGTTTCCATCATTTTTTTATTTTCTATTTTTTTTGTATCAATGTCTTTTTTTTTTTTTCAGAACTGTGGATT